GGGCTCATCCCACCAACTTTGGCCACTTCTGCAGTCGTTAATCTGGGATCCATTTCGATGCTCCTCTTGACAGCTCTTTTTGCCCCCTCCGATGGACCAGGACGACCCGGACGCTGCTCAGTTGTTTCCTTGCCGTGTTTCCTGAACTGCACGATGATTCTGTTGACTGTTAAAAGCGGGATTCCCAAATTCTGCGAAATTTGCCGCTCACTTATTCCACCATCTGCTTGACCAACTATCATTTCTCCAACAAAATCTGACAATTCGAGAGAACCTTGAGTTTTAGGCATGTTGTAGCACAAGATAATTAGTGTGCAAGATAATTTTCATTTATATAATGCTCTGTGAACACAAATTAGTTAGCAAAAGTCAGTTAAATGATGAAAAATTAGGTGTCTATTTACTTGTGACCACTCAGTGTATGTGGTACAGTTTATAAGTAGATATACTGAACTATAGCAATCCATTTCTACATACTATAGTTCAACAAGTAATTCCTATCACCTGTGTATGATCTGGTACACCAATTTACTTCTACATACTGAGACATAATATATAATATCAACATGTTTTTTAGTACAACGAGTCGTGTCTATATGCTCTGGTACATAATATCTTTAAACTTGGTTTATATTTATTATAAACATAATATCTACATGGTTCAGAAGTGGTGCAGTCCCTCACATCAGATCTTTGGGTCTGGCTCTCTCATTTCCAGGGATTCTAGCTAATCTTGTGAGCAGAGGGAATTACCTGATTGGAAGTTATAATTTTCCTATACTGAAAATGTATTTCTGATATGTAATTCCCTCCACTCACACTTCCCACCCTTCCTCATCACTGAAAACCAGTGCTTCCATCTTCTGCCAAACTTGAAGTGATAGTTTAGTGGAAGAGTATACAGGGAGTCACATGACTACATTTCACTTCATTGATAGAGAAGTGATGCATGATGATTTGCATGAGAGACATGTTGGAATCACTAGTTTCCAATAGGGGGGAGCAGAAGGTTTGTGGCATGCCTTAAAAAAGGTTGCAGATAGAGGGCAGCACTGAATGGGAATAGCTAATCTTGTGAGAAGAGAGAATTACCTATTGGAAATACATTTTCAGTATAGGAAACATATAACTTTTAAAAATGTTATAGGCATTTCCTGTGTTAAATAACATTTGATTTCAAGAAAAATGTTTAATTAACCAACATTGTTTATTATTCATATATGGAGTTTAGGTTTAACATATCTATTGCCACTGAATTTTCTTTTTTAAATTTAGTACATTAACTTATTTCTTTTTGCAACTGAAGACACAGTGTATAAAACTTTTGGCTTAATGCAGGAGTAAGAATAGTATGGTTTGTAATCATACCCCTACATGAAACTGTTTATTAAGGGATTACTTTACAACTTAAAATTATTGTTTTCTGGATAACTGATACAGATATAAACCATCAGATCATAAGTTAGTGATAAAGGTTCAAGAAGAGACATCAAACTTCAGAAGCACAAAGGGTTTGGTGCCAAAATAACATTGTTGGGGATTAGTTACATAAGAGCTGGTAGGGGTATTGGTTAGAGAAACTTTAAATTTCTTTCTAACATTGAACAAGTCTTTTTAGAGTCGAAATGTATTTTTGTAATTGAACAAAGTTCTTACTATTTAAAGTGTATTTCTTCTTTTTATTTACATTGTAAAATTCTAGTTTGTGTTATGTGTGTGAAAATATCTTGTATTTCATTTGACAGAATGCTGTAAGAAGCATCCATCCTGTAATTCATGATAAACTTGATGAGGATTGTATAGGTAGGACTAGTCATAAGACATTTCATTGATAGTTCTAGTATTAGAGATTTAAAAAGAAGAAATGTAAAAGAATTCCATTCCAGTAAATTATAAGTAATGTTATATACATTGGAATGATAGTATTTGATATACACTATCCTACCAAAAGTCGTGAAACACACATCTGATTGCAGGAAATTGGATGTGATGACAAAACTTGCAAATAGTTTGGCCTATAACGGTGATTAGCAGTTCACTCAGAAGTCATTTTGAACTTGTACACTGAATGTTAAGTACTCCGAAAGAGCTAAGATAGTTTCAGAAGGATAGTTGGATGTCATTTGGGGAAAATGTATGTACATGCTATTGAGCAACAATGAATCATTTCCAGGTCGACAATTGGCAATGTGCTGACGAAATGGAAGTCCACAGATGACAACTAGCCTAAGAAACAACCAAGTAAGCATAAAATACTGACTGACAGGAGCCAACGCACCTCGAGAAGGCTGGTTACCTCATCTTGCCATCAGACTTTAGAGAATCTGTGTTTGGATATATGAGCTGCCACAGGCAATCCTATAAGTGTTTCCACGACACATCGAGAGCTGCATGCCATGAACTTTCATGGAAGAGCTGTAGCCCACAAGCTATTGATAACAAAAACAAATGCACACCATCAATTGGCATGGGGCAAGGCATACCGAACCTGGACTGTGGATCAATGGAAATCAGTCCTACAGAGTGATGAGTCATGCTACACGCTCTTCCAGTCTGATGGATGTGTTTGGGTATGGAGAATGCCTCAAGAACCATTATTACCTGAGTGTGTTGTCCCAACAGTGAAGTTTGGAGGTGGTAGTATCATGATCTGGGGGTGCTTCTTGTGTATGGACAAGGTCCACTGGTTGAAGTACATGGATCCATGAATACTGAATCCTACATTGATGTTCTGAATAATTCTCTATGTCCTACATTGTGGCAATTTTATGGTACCGGCCCTTACAACTTCCAACATGATAACGCTCCATGTTACAAGGCAAGGATTGTGAACGTGTGGTTTGAAGAGAATAACATCGGAACATTGCAGTGGCCAGCACATAGCCCCAACCCCAACCCAATAGAACATCTTTGGGATGAACTGGATCTCAGAATTAGAGCAAGGCGAAGATGGCCCTCTTCAGTAATGGAGCTTACTAATGCTTTAAAAGAGGAGTGGAGCACAATACCACCAACTTTCTACCAGAAATTAGTAGACAGTCTTCCACGACACATTGAAGCAGTCATTAAAAACAAAGGTGGGCCAACACGCTAATAATTTCTTGTAATAAAGACATGTTTTATTCATAACTACCCGTGTTCCAGGACTTTTGGTAGGATAGTGTATATGCAAGAAATAAAGAGCCTTTTAACAGTAAAAAAACAATTTTGTGGTTTTAACTATCAGCTACCAGTGGAAGCTAACTTTCTACCATTTACTATGTTAGACATAGCCAAGTTACTGAAATGATTAATAGAGTACTAACTTCTTGAAAAATTTGGAAATTAAATCCTTGAAAATTATTAAGAACCTATGACAGTGAATGGTATATGTGTTAACCTTTCAAAGAAGTGAAATGTTAAGATTAAAAGGTTTTCATTGGAGAATGGCTCTTTGTTTCATTTTATACTGGTTGATCATGCATACCATGATATATCTAAATTATACCATTACTTTGACTTTTGTAAATCATATCTGTGTTTTACTAACTGTCACTTTGTTCTTTTGTTATAATTATTTGTTGGAATATCATTAACTTTATATGAATGTGTGGATTGAGTCAGTGGCAGGGCATGACAGAATTTAATTTGAAAGATCCCTGATGGGACAATCAGTTGTCTCATACAAATATTGATCATTTGCTTGCCAAGTTTCATGAAATTGGTTTTGTGTAAACCAAAAATGTAGTGTAATACCGTCAAACAGCTGTAAGGTCAGAACTTGGAAAGATCAAAGTGATGCATGACTTGGATCACCCTACATGGTATTTGTGTACAATAACATTTTCAGAAAGCTTAGGTGGTTTGTGATGTGAACTAAATGCTCTTTGTTAAATTAGCATAAAGTACAAAGTGGATTTTGAGTGTTTTGCAATGACATAAAACTTTACTGTGCAGTTTTTCAAACAAAAAGCTATATAACTGTCAAAAACTTTCCTAAACATCAGATATTCTGCTTGGTTTATAACAGTTAATAGCATGTTGTGTTTCCTGAACCAGGTCAGAAATACAATTTCACTTGGGGGTCAAACATGAGACCATTTGGTATCAGAAGCCTTTACTATTTGAGGGCTTGTATTTCCATAATGGATGGCTTTTCTCCAGGTTTCATAATTTACAACTTGTTTGTATGTTATTGTCATCTCATTAGAAAACTTGATATTGGGATAAATAAGATACCATTTTAGACCAAACAAGTAATTTACTCTTTTATATATGACTTTTATATTATACAATGCAAATAAATTAGGGAAAAAGTTATTGTAATAAGTACAGTATATTCAGTGGATGACAGACTGTGGAAAAAAAATGTTTTCAGTCTAATCCTGTCATTTAAGCATAATATACTTCAAAAATTGTAATAATTTATTCAAATTTGATCCCACTGTTTTTTTTTTTTGACAGAAATTGGAGCTGTACACTTCACTATAGACAGAGTTGATGACAATGGTCATTCAAACAACAATTCTGATCTTCTCATAATGTAATCTATGATAATAGTTTATAAAAACAACAATAATACATTGATATTCTTTTCTCTTCACAATAGGCTAGCATGGTCTGGTGGTTAAGGCAATTGACCTACAATATGTTGGTCACAGAATTGAGTCTTGTCACTAAATATGCTAGCTTTTTCAGCTGTAGAGGTGTTATAATGTGATGGTAAATCCCACTATATGTTGTTAAGGAGTAGACCAAGAGTTGGCAGTGGGTGGTGTTGACTAGCCACTTTCCCTTTAGTCTGTTACTTCAAATTTAGAGACAACTAGCGCAGGTAGTCCTCAAGTAGCTTTGTATAAAATTCAACAAATAAACCTTCATAGTTTTGTCTTTTTGACAATGGTTCCTTCGTATAACAATACTATATTAATAATAACATTGACTTTATTCTCACAATGTTATTTATGTTAAGATTCAATCATTGAATTGCATATGTTTTATTAAAAAACTTAAAGTAAACAATAAATAAATTTATATATGAATTAAACAATTCAGAAACCCTTAAAAACTGAAGTTTTTTTAGTAGAGGTTTGGTGTTTATAACACCTTGCTTTTTT